ATGCATACAAAGCCACACCCGTGACTAAACAGACCTTGAAATGCCTTCCCTATCCCAGTGCAAGGGCCCAGCTCAGAGGAATATTTTTCTGGGACTTCCAGTCTCAGTTCCTACCCTCTACTGCTGCTCTTCCTCACCCGCTGGATTCTCCACAGCATTGCTACTGGAGAGGGTTATGCAAATATATGCAACCCAGGGCTCACTTTGGAATAAATCAATCTAAATTAAAATTAATGAACAAAAAGTACAGAAACAGATTAAGCAATAAAGCCATTTCTCTCTCTTTCCCCCTGTGTCTCTCTTTTTTCTTTAAGAAAGCTGGTTTCTTTTCTTTATGCTTTTTTTGGTGAAGATGCAGACTGGTGTTTATTCTTTTAAGCCATCTCAGCAAACAGAAACTGTCTGTTGCTATCCAGAAAAACCCATCAAGCAATGCTAGTAGCTGTAGTAGAAATAATTCTTGGCATTTCTCTTTGCTGTAAGATGCTGATTCCAGCTACATCCCTACTACCCCTTTTGGAAGACACCATCATCACCTCTGACTTTGATTTTATTCACTTTTAATCACACGGTCAAAATAAGATACAATGCCACCCCTTGTCTGGTACCTATGAAATAGCAAGAAACAATTAATGTGATGTTGGCCTTCTGCCTTCACTGTGTCTTGTCCTTCCTGTTCCCTTGGCCTGAAACCCCTGCAGGCTTGGCACCCAATGGGGTCCCAGCCTTCAGCGCCTGCAGACCTGGCAGGGACGGACATCGGCCCCGAGCAGCAAGAGAAGCTTGGCCTGCCTGAGCATCCACCCTGCAGAGCCACCCCCTTCTGCACTCACCAAATGGAGAATGAGCTCTTTGGTAAATCTGGCTGGATACCACCAGCGTGAAGCAAGGAGAGCCGTGCGTTGTGCTTCCCACCCAGGGTCATGGGCGTTACCAGGTGCCGATGCCCGAGGCTCAGCCAACTTTCAGGGAAGAGAGAGGCATGCTCCAAGTAGTCAGGCACACATCACTGCAGAGTGACGAGTACAGCTGAACTATGGCCCCTGAATGCCTGAGAATTTATGGAAATACCAAACATGCCCATGGCTCCAAATATGCCCTCTGCGCTTGGTCCCTATAGCCATTATTTTTCTCTGCTGGTAGTTTCTACGTCAGGATCACGATAGGACAAGATTGGCTATTTTGGCCTGTTTATGCTAGGGCTTCCCCAGCTCTGCCAACTAGTTTGTTTCAAAGGCTGCGAAGGCTTGGGTTTTCACTGACCCTTTCTTGGAGCCCAGCTGAGAAAGCATCCACTGGCCTCAGTGAAGAGGACTCCAGAAACGGACGGGTTCTTTAGCTGGCCACATCATACTGGGAGGGCTGGTTTCTGTGAACTGCTCCCACACCACTGCCTAGTCAGCAAACCCCCATAATGTGTTAACCCTTTACAGTCTGTACTCTCTGACGTATTCCCTCATGCTTCTCTCCTTAGCTTCGAAATACTCAGATGTCCATCCTTTTGCCAAAGCAGACCCCGCTGACATGAAAGCTCAAGGCCATGCACTAGAGAAAGCGAAAGGGGAGCAGGGATGGGTGGAGGTGACCGCTGCAACTGATGAGCTCTCTTCTCCACAGCTAGGACCTCCATAGGGAGGGAAGAGGACTGAGAGGGTATTAGAAAGAAAGATGCTCTCTGTTTCCCACTCTGGTCATCAGACCCAAATGAACATCTCTTTCCTCCCTTCCCCCAGCTCCCACCCACCTGATGAAGGCATTAGTGACAGAACAGGCTACACGGGCTACAACTAAATGGAGACTAGCTACGATCTACAGTCATACAGGGTCATTCTCCCATCAGTGCACATTTTGGCAGAAAGACAGGACTGCTCACTCTCCTTTTCCCTCCCCCTCCTCCAATTACTAACACACTATTGCTATAAATCGTTTGCCACCCTGTTGATGGCCATGACTGGACTTTTTCTGATCGGGCCCCACGGACTGGCATGCTTGATGCCCTGCAGGCAGTTCTGGATGTGCTGCTGTCTGGGAAACAAGGCATCTCCCTTGCAGAGCTCCCAGGGCATTCAAGCTAAACATGCTGAGAAAGCCCCTGGTTAACCTGTGGTAAGCCCTCATCACAAATCTCCTGAGAAGGCTCGCGGGTTTTGAAGCCCATCAGTCTGGCTAAGCCATTCTGATGTGGACACTAGATGCTAATCACGGGGGAAGGAGTCTATGTTCAAAGGGCTGAGGGCAAGGGACAATGGAGGACAGAGGTGGAGCTAGCACTGTAATTGTGACAGACCCCTTTGAGGTTCAACAATGATCTCACTTGCCCTGTCATTGGCAGGTGTCGTGTGGAATGAGCAAATTCCCCTTTTCCAGAAGAAAATTCTTTTGAAAAGCCACCTGATGATGCAGTAAGGCCTCCTTTGTGACAGCCAGGTCTTGTGTCATCCCATTATAATGTGATGTTACAATGCAGACACGAAGATGCGATGATGTGGCATCATCCCAGAAGACATTTCAGGGCATTTTGAGTGCCCGGCTGCAAAATCAGGAGGGCTGGAAAATTTACCAGTGACAATTGTGTTGAGAGCTGAATCAGCTGGGCTCCACCAGCCTTTTAGGAAATTGCCTCATCAAATTCAAGTCCCATGTGTTTAGTTGAATGGGCTGCTTCTGAGTCTCCAGCCTGCCTGAAAGCAAGATGTTTCCACAGCAGCTAGCTAATGATAGCAATGCCTAGCATGACTACAGTGCTCTTCATCTCAAAACACCTTCCTTTTAAATTAATGCTTAAAAGCCCACAGGGCAGGGAAGTGTTACCCAGGCTTAAGAGAAATGGAAATTGAGGGAGAAAGAGGGAAGAGGCTGTGATTTTGGTCATTGAGGAGAGGCTTATTTGAGAGCTGAGAACTGCATCTCAGAACGTCAACTCATAGGGAGAAAAAGGTCTAACAAGAAAAATTTTATGCCTAAGGTTTCTTTGAAGTTGAACAGCAAAGTAAAAGCAAATGTTGAGATAAGCACCAATATCTCTGCTGAACGCCCACATTGGAGAAGCTGGTAGGGGCTTTCAGAAAACAAATGAGGTCCAGAATATTTAAACTCTACTTTCCCCCTCTGCAAAATCCTCTTTGCCTGTCCTGGGTCACTGGAGATATCCCAGCATTTGGCACCATAAGTTCCTGGAGACTCCTCACAGAAGTGATGTCACACCAGGATGTCCTTCGAGATGATCTCAGGAGACGGGGGGAGCAGTAAAAGGAAAAAAATAACAACTTCAAAGATAGAGGGGGAAGCGTTTTAAAGGATTGACTAAAGCTGTGCAGGATGGCCTTGGCAGCTTGATTAGGAGGGGTATTTGCTATGGAAATCCTGGCCTTGCCCACTTGCAGTTTTTGCTTTATCATTTAGCTTAATGGGCTACTAATTCAAAACCAGCTGTAAACAGGGCTGGCTATGAAAAAAATTAACACTGCCTGCCTGTGGAATTTAAGGATATATAATAAAAATAATCATAAAAGGAAAGAGCCCTGGGTTTTCCATCAGACAAAAATATTTGTCATTGAAAATTCTGCTTAAAAAAAGAATACCCAAAATTGGAAAACTCCTCAAAACCTTGCATCCCAAACAGCCTCAGCAACTTTAATTTCATATCCAAGCACAAGTTTCATTTGCAATACATATGATAATGGTGTTTAATTGGATTTATTTTTCCACACTAGGTTCCCAATGGCCTACTTTACTCCTTTTCTCAGCTCCTTGAATGTTATTTACAAATCACTCTCTGGGATTTAATTTTAATGGTAGCTTGATTTCTCCCTCCCCCCCTCCTTTTTTTTGTAGGTACTTTTCTTTAATTGTATTTGTGGATTTGCCTTTTAAATAGGCAATTGTGACTACATCCTGAGCCTGAATAAGTTGCCCAGAGCAGAGCTTGATTTGAAAACAGCAGAGTAGTTAAAGGGAGCTGGTGTAACACCCAGCATTTATTGTTCTTTTCATGGGAGTACCTGCAGGTGCTTTACTTGGGCAAGTGCCCTTTTGCAAAACAACATGGGTTCGTAATAACACTCTACGCCAAAGCTCTGCACAGACATTAACTATTTAGGCCTCTGAACATCCCATGAGTTGAGTGCATCTTCATCATATGGTGGTAAAACAAAGATACTAAGGAGCCCTAGGCCAAGATTTTTTAAGTGAATACGGGGAATGGCTGCCTCATTGTTGATTTAGTTTCAAACACTGCTTTCAAACGCTGTAGACTGCTTTCTGGAAGTGCCCAGTCTCTGCGCTTTTTCAGAATCTCAAGGTCGCATCCAAACCCCAAGTCTCGTGTGGACGTCAGGGCCATGCTGCCTGGACCTGAGTCATGCTTGGGCAGCACAGAGACAGGAAAAATACTCAGACCCTGTTTTGCCTTCATACCTTCTTCCCTTGGAATAAAGCAGACAGTAACACCTCACCGTGCACCTCTTTTCATGCTCTCTGCCTCAAAAGCAGCACTATGTGACTGGCAGGCTTGGGGGTGTGTGACAGAGGAATGAGAAACCAAAGTGTTTCACCGTGAATAGTTTGCACAACTAGAGTGAAAAAAACTCCTGGCAGCAATTTAATTTTTAGCTTCTCACTTGTCCCTTCCACCATCTCTGCAAAATTTTAGGTCTGCTTATGCTTTTGATCCAAATCAGAACGTGGGCAAAGACAGCTTAGAACTATTAGGAGAAATTGAACCTCACTGAAGACTGTCCAGACCTGGGTGAGGACACATTGTCATGGCTCAAAGCTTGGCTAAAGGTTGTTTAGTTGATTGGTTTTCTGAAAAGGGAAGGTGGAAGGGGAAGGATGAAGAAGGTGAGCAGAAGGGACCAAATGACATGTAGACGAGAAGGGAAAGCCCTTATTTTCCTGCATTTCTGAACTGTTTTGCCCATCCCTAGCTCTGAGCGTTTATCAGGATGATGGAGAATGACCCGGCTAAAGAGCTACTTCAACATAAAACATATACTGACCTGGAAAAGGATTGGGGAGTGTGGGTAAAACTCGTTCTAAGGGGGGAAAAAAAACAATAAGCAACATGCAGGAGAAAAGGACAAGCCACTTTTCACACCAAGCAAGCAGCAGATACAAACCTGATGGAGTTGTACATCCCCGAATTATATGAACTAGAGTAGGTTTCATATACTGAGCATTTTGCTAGCAACACACCTAATACATATCAGCATCCCCTGGGACTGGGAGTCAGAGAGAAGTAATTTGAAAAACTAAACAAATAATATCCACACAGCAAGAGGGATTAAGCACCTGCAGTGAAGGTAATTGGAGTTGATGGGCCACATCTCCCCTCTGACTTTCAAGACCACTCATGTCATCACACTACAGCTCCTCTTAGCTACACCTCTGGCTGGAAGCTAGTCTTGGCAGAGAGGTGAGTTGTGGAAGTCCTCCACGGGTAGTTGCTGCCTCCCCAGAACCTTCTCCACGATGGATTTCTTGCCAGTGACAGGTCCCCTGAGGATCTGAGCATGGTAGCAGTCACCCTAGCGAATCTTCAAGGGCACTCTGTTTCTTTTTAGCCTTTGTCTTCCAATGGGAACAGAGTTTTTGCAGACTCATCAATGTCTAGTTGTATGCAGAGCCTGCTGTTTTGGTTATAGGGTTTTTACAATGCGTCCTCGTTATACGTCACAGCAGGACTTTGTTACACGTCACTGCTGGCTTCACATTTTGCTTCTTCCACACAAGGATCTCAAAGAGTTGCATAGACACTGAGGGAAAACGGTGTCAGAGACCTCAGTCTGAGGCTAACAGTAGTGTTAATTCCATTTTACAGATCGTGCAGTTGATGCACAGAGCAAGAAAGCAATTTGCCCAAGGTCAAATGCTGAACTGTTGGCAGAGCCAGCAGCAGAACCGAGTACAAGCCCCCCCAGGCCTGACTGATCACTGGATCTCCCTTCATTACCTTCAGAGCTTGCTGGATGCCTCGTACTGACTGAGACAAGCTCCTACTCGGGGACTGATCGGTAGGTAGACATTTAGCTGTAGAGATATGCCACTATGCATAGCTGATAGGCCTGGGGCAATGAGTTGTCTCCTGACTTACCTGGTGCTAAGATCAGTGTTGATGGACATAGAGCTTGGCAGGATACATCGGTAGTCCGCTGTTATTCTCTGATCAACCCAGGCCCAGCTATTTGGAGGCCAATGCTCTTTATACAGCTTCCTTAGTGCAAGGAGCTAGTTTCTCACTTGCTGGAGCCCACGAGGATTTGGCAGGTCAGGCCCATCCCTGTGACACTGGCAGATCTCCTGCCTTCATGGTGGTAATGGAGCTGTTTGAATCCACAGCAGGCACAGGGGAGATTGTCTCTTGCATAGAAAATACACGGCTAGCCTGGATCTCTGTGTTTATGTAGCAACAGGGGACTATTGTTCTGCGAAAGCAGGCTGTTGTGCTGGCATGTCTTCCTTGTTATTTAGTTTGGTTAAATAACTCAACTCCCCTTTACCTTCTTCCTGCACAGCAGGCTGCAGATTGCACAGCATAAGCAGTTAAAGCAAAGCACTACGGCCTCATTATCATGCTGCTTTCTATTCAAGGACTCTACCTCTGTTCCCCTCGCCCGCCCGCTGCGTGCTGCCTTTATTGCTCCACCCTGGCTCATCAGCAGTGTCTCAGCCTTGCCCCATCTGGCTGTCGTCCTAGCCACTTTCCTTCTCTCCTGAGTCTCCCCGTTATTGACAGCCCCTGGGAAAACACGGGGTTTGCACTAAGAGCCACTAAGAGAGATTTTGGCCACGGTTACGCTCCAAACCCTAGCAGCAACCACCGTAAGCAAATGCTCAGGCGCAACAAAGCGTGGGCAGAGAGTTAGGAGAAGAGGTCTAAGCGTGTGCACTCAGCCAGCACTTGCGCCGGGGCACTAACAAATAATGGCAAGTTAGAGGCAAGCGCCAACTCTTCTTAGGAATGTGCCTCTTGCTGGGATCAAAACTGCTGGACTGAAATGATAACTCTACCCGAAGCCTCTCGAGGAGACAGGGGTGGGATCCTGTCTGCTGCTGCTTCTAATTGGCACAGGCCTTGCCAGCTGCTGCTTCACCTCCACGTTTCCTTACTCCCTGAAGGGTGCAGAGGATGCAAGCTGCAGGGGATGCGGCAGGGGACCTGCTGAGGTGGCAGTCTCCTATAACTGAGACAGTTTAGCCAGCAGGACCGCGTAAGGATGTGCGGCACTGCCCTGTTGTCTCCTGTTTTATCCTCTGGGATGGGCTAGCTCTGTGGGAGGCAGAAGTCAACTAATTTGGAAGAGCTTTCATTTCTTTTCTCTGCCTTGCCAGAATGCACCAGGTGCTGCGCCTGCTTCTTTGTGCCTGTGGGGGTGTGTGTGCTTGCTTATACATCACACAGGTGCGTGAGTATGTACACATACTCACGTACACGTAAACCTATGTATCTATATGCTTGTATAGCAGATGTGTATCTGGTATATATAGGCACATATTTACACTTCTGTGTAGCATGGGTTAAGATACAAATTGTGACTTTTACTCGTAACGCCTTTCACAGCACTCTGTTAGCTGAGTGGAATGAAAAGAAAACAAGTTCCCTCCCTCCTAATACCCTTAGGAAAAAAGCCCTTTCCCTTCAGTTGTGGCACTACTTTTCACCTCTGTTGCTCTGTGATGGCAGCCCTGGCTTGGCCTCTCTGTCAAGTAATTTTCATGGAGATGTGCGCTCTCATGAATGTTACTGCTCCTTTCCTAGGTCTCAGAGGATTTTGTGCTCACACAAACCCTGTTCCTACGCTCTACAGGGCTGAATCAACCTACTGGCTCGCTAATGCTGCAAAACATGGTCCTGCCTCGCATCTCTTCATATCCACAGATGTGTGATATGGCTTCCCCTCTTGCATGGACTCTGGTGCTTGTTGAGCCCTTCCCTGAACTAATTCAGCTCAGTACAACAAATGAAAAACTTTTGGGGGAGTGGGCGGTAAAGCTCGGTTACTTTTTCGCTGGTTTAGCAGGTTTAACTGGCTCAGTGGGTTGTCCATTGAGTACCAGAATAAGGGAAACAACAACAGCATGTGGCAGAGAGCAGGGTGAGCAAAAGAAATGGGGAGGAAGGGACGGCAGCAAGCTATTAGGTCAGTTGTATCATCAAACTGTACCTGAGTACCCTCTCTGCAAACGTATTCCATATTGCTGTTGGAGACAGGTTCCTGGGTAAGACAGACCTTTGGTGTGGCCATTTTTACATTGTTGTAAACTCAGTCTCCAGAAGTGAGGGGTATAAATCGCTCCATAGCAGGCAATCCTGCTGCTACATCCTTTAAGGAAGATCACTAGCTAGCTATTCATACAGCTCAAGGGAGCTGCTTTTGTATTTTAATGCATCTTCTATCTATGGCATTGACATCTAAGGCACTCAGTCTCTCCAAGAGTTTTTCAATGCTGGCTGAGATTTCCTGGAATGGTAGCCACCCATTTTTCTCTATTGCTAAACTGTTCTTTCACATCATTTTGCTAGCTTCCCTTCTGCCCTCCACCTCAGGCAAAGCTGCCAGTACCTTATTATTAACTCTCTGGTTGTCTCTTTACTCCTGGCTGGCATTCTTTTTTGTGCTGCAATGGAACACTGAGGAACCATCGCTGTACCTGCCTCCCTAGTGGGATGTTGCCCTACAGCAAGCTTGTTCTCTATTTAAAAAAGAAATAAAATCACTGATTCTAGGGATGAAAAACACTCCCAAGTATTTGAGTATCTGCTGTACCTTGCAAAAACTTGGCACTCCTTTATTTTTCTGCCGGGGTGTGTAGCTGGGAGTGTGCATTACCTGTTATTTCAGCTACTGTGTGATCACTACAGCATTTTTTTCATCTGGGCTTGTCGGTTTTTTCAGCTGCTTTCTTTATCTTTATGAGTCTGGATTCCCTTCGCTCATTTCCCCCCTGATTTCTTAACCTTAGAAATACCAGCTGTAGTCTGCCTGAATTTATTTTCTCTCTCTCTCTCTCTCCCCCACACACTAACTAGAAGGAGAACAGAGATTTCCTGAAACAATATGAAGCAATTACACACTGAAGAAATAGGGATTAACTAAGCAACAAAAATAAAAGTTAGAAACAGTCCACTGAAAATCATCAAATCTCAGTTCCTGCACCTTCATTCTTCTGGCTCTTGTGAAGTTCTCTAGTGTTTTCCAGCATAAATAGGCCTTGGATTTCTGAAGTAAAAATGATAAATAAAATCCAACAACTTGAAAGAAGGAAAGTTTTCTTCATACACATCAAAAGGAGGCTAAAATAGGACCCTTGCTGTTGCAAGTCATCTTTAATAGTTGCCACATTTCCTCCTGGAATAATTAATGGCAACTTCGCAAGATCTCCCTGGGTCTTTTACAGGTTCTGCCACTCATTTTACAACCATGGGTAAACCACTTCTTCACTCTGTACCTTAGTTTCCTACTGCAAAATGGTGCTAATAACACTCTCCCATTTCTAAATAACTTGTGATGTTAAAATATTCATTGCTAGCAAATCCTTTGAGATCCTTTGAGGTGAAGTTCTGAAGTCATGCAAAATGCTTTTCTAGCAAAACCAACCCCTCAGCTAAAATCACGTGTGCATACATACATTATTGAATTTCATCTTATATTTTGTTTCAGTGATGCATTTCAGCTCATCTGTGTAACAGGAATCAACAGAGAGGGACAAATATAGAATTCGGCCACAAATAATGGATTCTAAACTTAGCATTATATTAATATCAGCAAGAACAAATCTGGAGTATTTGAAAATTGTGTTCCAGATTGCTGCCTGAGGATTTTATTTGAATCTCATGGTAGTCACAAGACCAGGGTGAAAAGACTTTCAAAGTAGAAATTTGCTTTGTGTGCTGCAATGCTACAGGAAATCAAATATATGTTCTTTTATGATAATATCTGTTCTTTAGAAAAAACTTCCACAGAATACACCCAAATTTTGCAAAAATTCAAACTGCCATGAAATAAATCCAGAGGTGGTAAACAAAGAATGCCAGTGGATTTATCCTTTTGCACTACATCTGTTAAAAAATAACCAAACCAAAACATTGTTTTTCTGATGGTTTGATTAATCTGACCTCACATAGCAGAAACTAGACTAAACTCCATCCCATACTAAGACTGCTTTACACAGCTTATCTTTTTTCTCTTTAAAAGGACATGCAGGTCATGGCCTGAGTGCTTTAATTCAGTTTGGACTGTCAGAGGAATACAGCCCTAAGTCGCTTTTGCGTCTATGCGTCCATTCATGTAAGTGGGTCATTCTGCTACACTCTATTCCTGGTGGCAATAACACGATGTGGTCCAAGTGAAGCCCAAGTTTTGGACCTGCAATCGGGAACTGCGTTTTGAATACGCCACAGATTGTATGTGTGCATAGGTGGTAGGTGAGGGGCTCTGTGTAGGGTCAGGTTTGAATCAGCTGCAAAATTCAGAACAAGCAGGTAACTCTGCTCTAGAATCCCAACTTCTGTCTGTTTACACTTACTACGACAAACTCAGTAATTGAAAGGTAGCAGAATGAGATCCAAGGAATTTTATTCCATATTTCATCTGCTGATTACCTTTTCCCCCCATGTTCCCTATGGTATGCCCCTTTAAATCATTCTGTCTTTTCCCACTTCTTTCCTTTCCATTTTCAAACTCATTTCTCTTTTTCTTGACTCTCTCTTGTTCTCCTCAGGCTCGGTGGCTAGTTCTCTCCACCTCTCTGAATTACTTGTAATTTCTCAGCTGTCACGGACCCTCTGAGCCCTGGCCTTCTGTCTCCTTATTAAAGGGGCTGTCATTGTAAAGGGTTTTTTGTTTCCAGCTTTAAAACAAACATGTTTTTATTATTTTAACAAAATCTGACTTCAGCAAAGAAAGTCAATCAAAGGGCTTGACTGTAAACCTTTTAATTTGGCTGTGTTTGTGTTTCACGGCAAGCATGAACATAGGTATCTGAAGCAGAGCGCTGAAAGCCAGTTCATGGCTGGAGGTTTGGGGGGGCTGGGGGTGGCAAGTGGATGCTTTCCTGAGTTTTGTTCACCGTTTGCTTCCTACACAGCCTGGTCTTTGTGAGAGTGATCTGGATCTCCCTTCACCCTCTCCCATACTTACTGTAAAGGTATAGGCTGGCATTTGTGACACCCAGCTTGTTGGCAGCCACGCAGGTGTAGTTCCCGTAGTGTTCCTCAGTGACGTTGGCCACCATCAGCAGAGACTGGCTCCCCGTGCTCTTTATCTCCAGACCATTGGCGCTGTTTATCCTGGGAAGACAGGAGAAGAGGTGTGCAGTGCAATGGCAGTTGTGTACTGGGAAGGAAGTCACTGCCCAGCAGGCAGTAAACCAAAGTCATTCAGCCCAGCTGGCAGGTGAGGATGGAGGGAGGCAGGAAAGAGACCAAAGAAGGCGTTGATGGAAAGCAGGAGGAGGGAGTGAAAGGAAGAAGGAGTGCAATGGGGTAAAATAGCAACGGTAAAGCAGTGGAGAAGCAAGAAAAGCCGAGGGAAAGGGAAGAAGCTTTTACCCAGCACTGACTAACACTTGGAAATGAACACACCATGGCCAGCTGAGGGCTAGTCTGTACTTGAACAAAAGGTTTTTAGTGAAACACACTAATTCATGTGCTCCAATATGTGCATATACCAAAGCTGAATTACCCCTGAGCCTGTGCACATGGGTGAGGTTAAAAACTGGGATAATAACACAACTTTCTTAATGCTAAGTAAATGCGCAGGTATAAGGGACAGATCCCTTTTCTCTTCTCATTTTCTCTCATATGCAAATCTGGGTGGCTCAGGTCACACAGATGGGGGAATCTCACACCTCAGCAGCTCCTTCCCCTAGATGAAGGCACCTAGAGTGGCATTACCTACTTGGAGATTAAGACTGCCTACTTTTTTGTCTGTATCATGGCCTGTTTAATGCATCAACATCATCAGGAAGAAAGCGCTATTGATGTCTTAATAGTGTATTGGCCCATAACTGACTTAACGGCAAGAGATCCATCCTCCGCACTTCTTTCAGCATCCCCAGCGCAAAGAGGGATTGCCTTCTCCAGCCCTGACCATGCTGGCTCTGCTGAGTCTGATGGGACCATCGTGACTTATATGGTTTGTGAAGAGTAATTTGTTTGAGGAGAAGAGTTGGGGAGGACGATAGGTGATTCTCTAAGGATCCTCTATTGAGTGGACTGAAAAGGAGGGAAGGGAAGAGGCGAGCTAAAGGCCTTACCTGGTATCATCTCTGTACCACTCGAAATCAGGTGTAGGCACTGCTGACGCCTCGCACCGGAGTAAGGCTTGTCGTCCCGTGGCCGCTTCGTTGCTCTTGGACTCTGTGATGGTGGGAGGGTCTGCAGGAAGGAAACACGTGGTCACTTCACACACTTCCAGGTGGAACGAAACAGTGAAACTATGTCAGGTCTGGCTTCCTCATGCAAACCATTCGGGCTGGTGGAGGCCCACAGCTGCTGCTTGCTGTGGCACATGCTCCCCCCTGCTCCTCTGGAGAACACCTGCTCTTTGAACTCTCCCTAATACACCACGTTAGCATCGCTCCTTACGCGTGCTTCTCTTCAGCAACACTGAATAAAGTTCTGTCATAAATGCATAGGCATACACAGGCAAAGTTAAGGTTAATGATGGACTTCTGTAATTTATGAATATTTACCTGTGGATCTCTAGTTCAGATGGGCTCATCAGAGAGAAGAAGATGAGAGAAAGACTTCATCAAGGGTAAAAGAAGACGGCAAAAGTAAAAGCAATGAAGTAGGAATTTAACACTAGCATGAAAATTATTTTCCATACAACCTCTGTGTCTAATGTCAAAACCATAATAAGAAAGGAAAGGACTGAGACAACATGTATGAGACAAAAATACATTCACAGCTTAAAAGGGGAGAGCTTTGGCAGGAGCTGTGGGTGCAACTTTGAGAGCCAGACCACTTGTCGAAACACTTCCCTTAGCTGTCTAAGGTTACAAATCCTGCCCAAACCTTCCTGAACATCATGCTTTTGTCACAGGCTCCAAGAGGGCTTGCTCGTGATTGCTCTGTGTGAAGCTTGCCCTCAGACCAGCACGGTGCTCCCAGCTCTGCTTACTTTGAAGCCTGAGAGTTGTGCCATGGGCAAACAAAACTTGGGACATGTATTGGTGTGCTCCGCTGGAGCTAGGTCTCAGTGCTGGCTGGGTGCTGGGTAGGGGACGCACCGGCATCTTCAATCCCAGCCCCATGTTCAAAATGTTAAGTGACAAGCTTTACATGTTAAAAGGCAGAATTATTTCCACCTGGCTGCTGAAAGGGATCAGGGAATAAGTGCCTTGTCTCTCATCACTAATACTTGCATACCCTGAGATTACGGGGCTGCAACTCAAACAGCTACTTTGCTGAGACTCAAAGCACATAAAGCACACTCTGGGTGTACAGAGTACAGCTCTGCTGTCTGTATCTGCCCCAACACTGAAAGGCCAAAAAAAAAATCAAAATGGATTGTGTCAGTCAAAGAAAAAAATAATTCTGTCTGGAAAATGTATGGAAAGAAGTTTGTTTGTGAACACATCAGCCATTTCAGTGTGATCCCTTTCCTGACCTTAATCGCGATTTTATGCAGGGCTTTAGGGATATTGCAGTGTGCCCTCTAACATCATAAATATTAATAAGTGTACATAAATAGGATCCTACATTCAAAGGCTGTGGGTTCACATAAATATTTTAATTTGGAAAGGAGGAGGGGTAATAAAAGGATAGTGAAGGTGATTTTTTAAGCATCCTTCTTTGATTTTTTGGTTCGAGCACTATATCTTCTTGCCATCTGCAGCGAGACAAACCTTTTCCATTTCACTGAATCCAGTGCAGGAGGTGAGTCACAAATTGAACAAGCACCTTTCTATGGGCCTAGAAAATGATGCCGGCAGGCATGTGCTCTCTGGGCTGCTGCCAGGGAGCCCAGCCCCTTGCTCTGAGCAGTCCCTGCCTAGCCATCCTCCTCCGCTTTTTAAAGGACAGAGCCCAGACGCGTGGACAGGCCATACCTCAGCCACCACCGCTTTTGTTAAGGCACTGCCGGCCCCGAGGCTGCCCGCTCAGCAAAGGGCAGTCTGCTTGCTGCAGTGCTCTCCCAGGAGAAGGGGCAGGCGGTGGCCCTGAACAAACCAGCCTCTTTACTCAGAAAGCAGCCCTCTGTGTTTAGCTGTTTGCTGCCGGGGAAGCCAGGAGTGGGTTCCCTTTAGCTGTTTTCCCCCAACTCTTCCCCAGGCCTCAGTTTCCCTGTCTGTGATGTGCCAGGGCCATTACTCGGGAAGCCTGAAGGTGGTAGTGTGAGACCAAAGCAAAGTGAGGATGCTCTCCCCTGCAGTCCGGGCTGACAAGCTACGTGCTCCACAGCATCAGCGGACGGTAAGAGGTGGCCAGGAAGCTCCTAAGGTTGGGCAGGTCCCATTTTTCAAAGTTACTGTAGTTTTCCCACTTTCTGCTGCTTGTGGTGTAGTTTAAGGAAGCAAGATAAGGAAAGATGTATGCAAATGTCTAGCTTCCATTCCCCAAACAGGACTGATTTTTTTCCTGTGCATGGCCCTCATGATCTCTTAGATTCTTTCCCTTTGTTTCGAAAGAAAAGATCTGTCCTGAAGGAATTTATAAGTTGCTTACATTACAAATTAGGCCACCTAATAATATTACAATACTCTACCACATTATATTTTCATATATTCCAACAGTAAAAATGTTTAAGATCTTACTGTAGCATAGTTATTATGAATTGAAACTAAGTCAAAATCAAACATTCTGACTTTATACAAACAATCTGTTTCAACCATGTTAAAAGCATTGTTGAAATTATGTTTCACAGAAATATTTGAAAATATTAAGTGGTTCTCAGGGAATGTCTCGCGTTTATAAACTCAGCTGTTTTTGACAGGCAAAAACCCTCAACAGTTTTAGTGCAGAAAATCTGCTACTACAGTTTCACATTAATGCCAAATTTGGCCCATGAAGCGGCCGCTATTAAACCACTGCCACCCAATTTCTAAGGGAATTATAAAAAACTCTGTGGACTCTGAAGATGCTGCAGGGAGCCTTTAACCTTGACTTCTAAGCAAGACAGACAAGTTGATCTGATGTGATGGCCCAAAGAGAAGGAAAGAGACAAAGAGCAAGAATGGTATTAAAAGGTGCTTAAATCACCTGTGGTGGCAAATTACCCTGGGATGGGCTGAAACACTTGCTGCCGTCTCTCTAGCTCTCTGCCGTCTCATTAGCTCTCTGCCCTAACCCACTCCCTGAGAGTGCTACACGTGAATCAAGGCCATGCATATGCACCCTGAAACATGTCTGTAACCATCTCCAATTTCAGTTTAAGTTAATACTCTGGTGTATAAACTGAAGAAGGTCAGGAGAGGATATACCTCCCGTTCATCCATCCCTGCTCCAGAGGTATTAGCCTCCCAGCAAGGAAACAGAGCAGGTAGATGGGGATATTCACTTTAAATCACTCCAGTGCCAAATATGAGCCATACAAATATGGAGGTGAACATATACACATGTAGGATTACAAGAGTAATGGCAGTCTGAAATATCTTGTGTCACTGTGAGAGGAGCACGCCAGCAGAGTGAAGTGGACATCTGTCTAAGCACGTGTGGGCGATGGGATCCATGCCCCACTCATACAGGTGTGGATGTAAGCCACGTAGCTAACTGTGCCTCTCGGTGTTTTTAGGTGGCTTGGTGTATCCTTTGGTCAAGCCCTTTTCTGTATTGTATTGGTGCACGGAGGGTCTCTTAGAGAGAGCTTTATGCTAATAATCTGAAACCAGCATAAAAGTCAAGTTTTCGCACCCTCTCATTAACACATGCCTCTACTGCATGTCCCCCCAGGTCCCTGGGCTGTGATACCCATGTAGACACTGCTGAGATGGCTGGGTGCAGGCAGGTGTGTGTTTGCTCTGAGTTGGCTGAACCCTCTCTTATCTCTCCTCGCTGCCTTGCTGAAGCTTCTCTTCACGCTACTGTTCTCCCAAATATCAGTGAATGAAAACAAGGCATCACCAGCCTTTCTGCGGGGAGAGACAGGGGCAACTCACAGCTCCTCTCTTCTCTCTCTCTCTCTCTCTCCCCCTATATATTGCCAGGTTTAAAGCACAAACTATACCCTGCGATAAGTGTCTGATTGAAGATAGTTTTCTCAGTGCCCCCCCCATTTCAGATCATATAATATAAACCCAGAAAGGCTTCTCTATTTATCCTGAAGTCACCCCTGCCCGTGGGCAAAGCTCTCCCCATTGACCCGCTCCAGTTGAGATGAACTCACAGTTCACAGTGACCCGGACTTGCTTGACGTCTGCTGAAGCAACCTCGTTGGCAGCTTTGCATTCGTACTTGCCCGATTGCTCTCGCGTGATCCCTAGGATCTCCAGATACTCTTCCTCGCCTTCAAACTCTCTGCCTGGTAGGACAGAAAAATACAGATGGTGGCTCTGTTAGGCATTCAGATTTGGGAAGCCGCCTGCTTTCCATGAACAATCGCAACAGGGATTCTGCAAATAAAAAACAGTCTTGAGCGATTTTAAAGTTTTTTCAAAAGCCATATCAGCAAGATACTAGCATTTTATTTAGTTATGGAAAGCTCGGGTTCTGAAAATCTGGAAGGAAGCATACAAGCGGTACCAAAGCGTTGCATCTCACAAGCTGTCCATCTTACAGGCCAAGAAGCAAAATCCCCACTGGAGACTGGAGTAAGTTCACTGGTGTGATGGCTGAGTACCAGGGGAGGTTAGTCAGCCTACGGCCGATGGGCTGGTTCAGGGCTAGCTGGGTCCTCAGATGTGGCGGTGTATTGTCAGCACCCTTTTCTCCACTGCAAAACTGTGAAAAATGTCTTTCTGTCTCTCAGAGCAACTACCACTGTGAAGTGCCATCGATCAGATTGAGCTACCGTTAAACATGGCCAAACTGAGAGAAACAAAGTGTAATTTGATCCGCAGAGACCAATAATCATCACGAATCCCTGATCTACTGTACATACAAAATGACATATTTAAACCGTGCTGCCTCGCTAACACAGTTTTGAAAGCAGTGACTTGAGCAATCGGGGTTACAGCTGGGGGCAGGAATCAAGGGAGGTGTGTGGCCTTGCTTTTAATTCACTGTATGACCTTGGGTAAGTCACTCCCTTGCTCTCCCTCTGTGAACTGCGGCTAATAGCCCCCCTCTCCCATCACCTCCTGGTCAGAGAAGGGCGGTGAGGTTAACCCATGTAAAACACATTAGAATTGTTGGATGAAAGGTGCCAGGGAAGCATGAAATATTAGGATTGGTATATCTACCCTATTCCTTCGGAAAGCAAAGCAAGGCTCCTCCTGGAAAGAATCTGAACCACATTGGCAGCAGTGTAAATGGAGATGCTTCCCTCCTCTGAAGGGGCTGCAAGCACTGGTCTGCAGCACGCGAAGCCACAAACCCCAATTGCGTGCCTATGTATGTTTAGAGAAAGCGTCCCCCAACCCTCGAAGGGTAAAAGCCAGATTTCGCAAAAAAACCAAAAGAGGTCAGCTCACAAGGGCTCGCATTCAGGTTCCTCAGAGAGCGGTCAGATTTTCCAAAGCAACTCTCTGCCCAGAAGACATTTTCTTCTTGATAGGTGCCGAGCATTTCTGAAACTCTGCCCACTTCACGTAAGCGCTTAGGGTTGTTTGATGGAGTTCAAACAGTGCCTGCGAGGACGGGGCTGTTGTCCTTGGCTCTGCGGCACTGTGTGAAAGCAGTGGGTAAGCCCCATCTCTGGAGGTAAAGTTCCCGTGGAGCCACCTGCAATGAATCCCACCACACAGGTACAGGCTTGCTGCAGCGTGGTGGCCAGGTCAGGCTGGGGATGCCAGCTGCATGCATTTCCCTTCTGCATCAGAGATAGGGACTTCAGCAACTTCAAAATCTGCTCAAAACTATGTCCCTTACACGATTATTTTTGCCTTTTTTTTTTTTTTTTTTTTTCCCAAATTTTTCAATTTTCAGAACCGTTCTAGAGGAAAACCACCCCCCGCTCAGCATGAAAACAGCAGTGTACCTATTAAACTCATGCAAAGACAAGGTTTCCCCTCTCTTTCAGCGGCGCTAACCAGCAGTCCCTTTTCCAGCTCCTACCAGATGTTCAGGTGAGTGGAAATCTCAGTGCTATGTCTAAAACTTACAACTGTTTTGATGCAGGTTTTTGCATCCCTAACAGTCTGCTGAAGGGCCTTACTGCGTGGCAGCAGTGTTATTTTACAAGGTAGGGAGGCAAAGTTGGCTCCTGCTGCCCACCCAGTGCTCTGGGACACGGCTCTCAATCCTCTGCTGTGCACTGGGACTGATGCTCTGGAGAGTCAGTGGAGAGGGAAGCAGGGTGGGATTTTTACAGGTGCTTTTTATCGCTGTAACTCATGAATATGTTAGGGAATCTTAACTCCTGTAGTACCAGAGTTAGGTGAGTCATAGTACCGGAAGGGATTCAGTCACCATCTAGCCCATTCCCCAACCTCAAGGCAGGACACATGGGTCATGGCAAGGAGACAGCCATCCTCTGCCCTCCAGCGGCAGAGACTCTGCAGCCGCTCCAGATGATCTGTTCCTGTGCTTCGCTGTCCTTACCACTGGAGCAGTTTCCCTGAAGTTTGACCTGAGTCTCCCTTGCTGCAATTTAAAGCTATTATTTTTGTCTTAGCCACTATAGACAAAAAGAACAAATCATTCCCTTCTTCTCTGCAATAGCCTTTTACCAACTTTTAAATCACTTATGTTCCTCCCCCCGTTGTCATCTTTTTTTTTTTTTTTTTTGGCTGAATATTGCCAGGTCTGACAACCTTCCTCTGTAGGTGAGGTTTTTTAGACCCTTGATCATTCTTGTTCTTTCCTTTTAGACCCTCTCTGACAAGTTCACATTTTTCTGGAAGTGCAACGCCCCAAACCGAACACAGCATTTCAGACAAGGTGTTACCATGGCCGAACGCAGATGAAGGATTGTGTCGCAACTTCTGTGCTGTGCTGCTGTCTGTACAGCCAGTACGTTGTTCGTGGTTTTGCCATAGCATGATTCATTTTTGGTTGGGAACTCTTTTAATTCCCAGATCTTCTTATCACATACTGCTACCTGCTAATAATGCTCTTTGAAAATCCCACCCCCAATTTGAGCTGACAACCAACACTCCCCTCCTTTCACAGCAGCACTCCCAGTTGGTAGGTCAGCCAGTTGACTGGAAAGTTAATCAGACATCAGGGAAAGACTCAGAAAGAAAAGGTTAAAACGTAATTTGCCTCTGCTTTGCAAATAATTTGCTCTGCAATTCTGCCTTGTTTATACACAAGGTTCATTCCAAGTGGGACTTGCTTCTCCTGCAATTTGCCCTTGTCACAGGACTGTCACCCTAATGAAAAGAAGGTTGAGGGTGACTTAACCAGCTCTAATGGAGTGGCACCCTCATTAAGGGTGCTGTTAAGTCTGTCTGTCAGAGAATCACATCAATGGAGCGCCAAAGTATCCTAAAAGGGTACATACTTTCCTAAGGAAAGATGTTTTTCAGCTTCTCCCCTGCATACGTACATGCACTTACAGTCTAAACTGTGTACCATGTCCAGCAGGAGAGCTTTCACAGCTACACACAACACTTCCCGAGAGATGATGAGCTGCTGGTTTGCCCAATGGAGCTCTCTGGGAATGAGTGAAAGGGAGGACTTCTGTTTTAAAGGGCATGCCAAAGACATCAATAGGCCTATTCAGCTCCTCATTCCCTTGCTCCAGGACACAGATATGAGCATAACACTTCAGAGAAAGTTTCTGTGACAGTCTCTTTCTGAAATAGTGGTAGCAGTGTTCCTGTCCCTGCACTGCTGACCTGTTTCAACCCTGGGCATCAACGTTTTGCTACAAGAACTCAGCTACTCTCACTTGCAAGACAGACCCTTTTGCTTGCAGCCCTGTCCCCTCTAAGAGTTTGTTAACCATTTCTAACAAAAAGCATTTATATAAAATTGAGGTGTCATAATACAGATCAGGGAGAGGAAAGATGTATCACGGTGTGTTAGAAAAATGTCAGGTTGTGATATCTTGCACAGAGCTGTAGAGATGTTTTCACTAATTCATCCTGGCAGCCAGATTAGGTGAGTCATATAACTCTAACCTCTAAGGCAAACGGGGAGCAGGGGGAGCAAGAACAGAGCTTTATACACCGAGCGAATTTACAAATGTTTCCATGCAGGAGCCAGCTTTGGCAGGGAGCTGATGGTTGTCACTATGCAGTTTATCAAAGCGGGGAGGGTGAAGGCTTGGACAATGCTCTTTGGTACCGGTAACAATGAACATATTCTATTAGGTGAAGAGAGGGACTACCAGCTCCTGGCAAGTAAGCCACTCCGTTCCCATTACGAGAAGATGTTTGCCTTGAGCGTGTTATCCAGGGACGAAATCCTGACCCTACTGCCAAACCTTCCTCGTCGACAAGGGTTGTCCCCTGGCTGTTTTGTCTGGTTCAGTACAACTTCTTCCCAGTGAGGGGCCTTCCAGGTTTCCCTGGGGAGGATGACTCCTCGTGCAGCGCAGCTCTTCTTATCCCAAAACATACCTTCCCATGACTCCAGGCAACCTTCTTCCCTGCAGGTTTTTTGCCTTTCACACGTTCATAGTTAGCTTGGTTTGTTGCTGCAGCCCCATTAAACACTGTCTTGCCAAGCTGTAGCTCCTTAACTCTGTCCCAGTAAATCAGAAAGCGGAGCTTTCTGCTTTGGAGGCTGGAGATAGAGAGTATGAGCCTGGGAGGCTTGACAATCAAACCAACAGGGAACGACCCCAAGCAGAGTGAGCCAGGCGCCTGCCGCTGCTCAGAGCTGGCAGAGCCCTTTTTGCAGAGGGATCTGCGGCAGACAGCTTTGATGTGTGCAGGAGGAAGGCTTTGAAGGCCCACTTGCCTTAGCCACATTTCCTATCCCCTGGCTTCCTAATCGGACCCAGTAAAATAAATAATGAACCCAAACAGCAAACCTGCTCGGCAATGCTAACCTCCTCTCCCCCCACCCTTTGGAGATAGCCTTGTACAATCCCATGGGCTCTGCACATCGTCCCCTGTTGACGTGCATACCTGCCTATGCTCTCGTATATATATGAGAGTTATACATAAAAATATACATATAGATTATATTCTATATTTTATATATTA